TTCAATTTCATTTATTCTTTAAATATTTCGTTAATCCTGTGTTTTATTTATTTCATATTTAATTACTCTATTTCGATTATTTATTTGAATAATATCTATTCGATTTTTCCTTTTACTATTTCTTTAATTCATTATCTTAGTTCGTTAAGTAAAAAAGATATTGCTTTTTTTAATTTATTCTTTAAATAATTCGTTAATTATGTATATTATTTATTTCATATTTAATTAATCAATTTCAATTATTTATTTGAAACGTATATTTAAGTAAAAAAGAAAAAAAATTAAAACTCAATTTAATTTATCTTTAAATATTTCGTTAATTCTCTTAATATATAATTTATTTTATATTTCATTTTATTTCTTAATACAAAAATAAAACAACAATTCTAAAAAAAAAAATTATTTTTGACTCAACGGGTCCGGAGCCGGATTTGGGCCGGCTAGCCGACCCAGACCAAAATCCGGGTCGGTGTGTCCGGACTGGTCCGGACCCGGTCCGATAGCCGTAACGGACCACATGGTCAGCTACGGCCCAGCTGTGGTCCGTTACGGACCACAGCGATGGTCCGCCATTTCTGGTCTGTTACGGACCAGCAGCGACGGAGCCGTCGGAAAACTCTATTTCCGGCGAGCTCCGTCCCTTTTTTTCACTTTTTTTCAACATTTTAACCTCAAATTCGATATTTTCTTACATTTTAACCATAAAACACATGAATTTAACCCATATTCATATCCTAAACATTCAAACTTTCACAAATTCGAAGTAGTTATTTATAGAAAACATGTCTAACCTTCCAGAAAATGACGGTCTCCGGCGAATCGAGGTGGCTCTGGAAGAAGTCGAAGTTGGTGAGGTCCGGGCAGTCCGTAGGTGACGTCGACGGTCCGGGCAGATTTTTTCTTTTTTTTTTTCTCTTCTTTTTTCACTCTATTTTCTCTTCTCTTCTTTCCTTGATGGGGGGTATTTTCGACCCTACACAAATAATAACATTTTCCCTCTTCTTTTTTTTTTTTTTTAAACTTGGTCAAAGGCTATTTTGATAAACATACCGAGTGGGGCAGCCATTGCCCACCATTTCCTCGTTATTTTCCACCGTCAATCCGATATAAATAATAATAAAGAAAATACGCAGGAAAGGAAGAGAAACAGTTTTAACTTTCGTGGAGCGCGCTCGATTTGAGCTTTTCCGTCTTCTTTCGAATTTCTCAACCTTCCTTTTTCCCTAGGGTTCTAAAACCCAATTCACCAATCAATTTTCTCGTTTTTATTTTTCTGCACTCTGTAGTTTTACCAAAGTAAATTTGTTGGATTTGCTTTTCTTCCCGAATCACACCATAAGCAATGGTGCTAGCAGTTAACCGGGAGACGCCTACAAATTGTGGGACTACCAGATGCTTCAATGAAGCGGCAGGCACTGGAAATTCGGGGGCAACCGAAGAACGCAGAGTGCTTCGGTCCAAATACCTCACCGTTCAGAATCGGATTAGCAGTAATTTATTTCAATTCTCTTTCACACTCTTTTTAATTTTAACTTATTTGCATTTATAAGATTATTATTTTGCATATTTTAATGACTATAATGTTGATTTTTTAATTTTCAAAATTAAAATTTTGTTTTCTGTCAATTGTATTCACGTGAAGTGATCAACAGATTGCTGATTGGAGAACTTAATTTTGATTAAATTACGTTTATGTTGTTAACGATGGCCTTGATTTTGTGTAGAGGCAGTTGGGTTTTTTTTTTTTTTTTTTTTTTTTTTTTTTTTTTTTTTTTTTTTT